TGCACTCCAGTCTGGGCGACAGAGTGAGACTCCAACTCAGAAAAAAACAAAAAAACAAAAAAACACACACACACCAAGCTCTGCATTGTCCAATAGAGTAGCGACCAGCTACATGCGGTTCTTGAACACTTGAAATGTGGCTTAGTTCGAATTGAGATGTTCTGGAAGTATAAAATACATAATAGATTTCTAAGACTTTTTTTTGGATTCAGGGTCTCATCTCACTCTGTTGTCCATACTGGAGAGCAGTGGCATGATCATGGCTTACTGCAGCCTCAAATTCCTGTGCTCAAGCTACCCTCCCAACTCAGCCTCTTAAGCAGCTGGGACTATAGGCACACGCCACCACGCTTGGCTAATTTTTTTATTTTTTGTAAAGGCGAGGTATCACTACATTGCCCAGGGTGGTCTTGAACTCCTGGGCTCAAGCAATCCTCCCACCTCAGCCTCCCAAGTGCTAGGATTGCAGGCAAGAGCCACTGCACCGTCTGACTTTTCTAAGATATTACTGAAATAGCTCATTACTCTTTTTTTTTTTTTTTTAAGTCCAAGTCTTACTCTGTTGCCCAGGCTGGAGTGCAGTGGCATGCTTGTGGCCACCGCAGGGCTCAGGCGACCCTGCCACCTCAGCCCTCCAAGTAGCTGGAGCTACAGGCACGTGCCACCACACCCAGTTAATTTTTATTGTAGAGATGAGGGTTCACCAAGTTGCCTGGGCTGGTCTCGAAAGTGTGGGCTCAGGCAATCCTCTCACCTCGGCCTCCCAAAGTGCTGGGATTATAGGCGTGAGCCACCGTGCCTGGCCCAATCATTTTTTATGTTGATTAAATGTTGAAGTCAGAATATCTTCTAACATCGGATTAAATATATCATTAAAATTAAGTTCACCTGCTTAAAAAAATTTTTAAATATGGCTACTAGAAAATCTATTTATTCATTTAAATTTTTTATAGAGACCCAAACTGGCCTCAAATCCCTGAGTTCAAGCAGTCCTCCCACGTCCACCTCCCAAAGTGCTGGGATTATAGGGGTGAGCCACCGCACCCGGGGCCCTCGTTGTATTTCTTATTGGACACCATTAGTCTCTGCATTGAAACTACGATTTTTTGAGGACAAACACTGTGTCCCCGTCTCAACAGACAGCTTAAGTCCCTCCTGGGTCCAGGTGCTGTGTGGTTCTGAGGACGCCACAGGAGATGCCGTCTGGGGGGAGATGGATGTGGACACTGCACACAGGCCCTACAGCGGCGTGTTTGGCATTCCGGGCAAAGGTGGGGACGGGATGACCGCTCGCCCGCCCCCCCC